GTAACCATCTAACTTGTTTAATAACAATAATGTGTAAAATTTTGTTCAAAATCACTAACTCAATTCCTAGTAAAACTGCTAGGTTTTAGTACTTTTCAAAGCACCACTGTACCCTTAAAACAGCATACATTGAGTACACTCTTCGCCAGCTCACTCATGTTCAATGAGCTGATACTTGTCAGGCTAAAAATATTTAATAAATATAATCAATATTTTAATGTCTTTAAACTTTGTATTTATTGGCAAATACAGCGTAACAATCAGATCATAAATAATTATATATAATGTTTATAAAAAAAACCCGGCAGTTTTGAAGGAATCTATGTTTTCCTTTTAGGAAAGTAAATCCAATAAGTCAACTAATTGGTTAACTTATTAGCAATACAATTAGCAATTTGAGAGAAGCATTCGAGTCATTCGATCACTTTACTGTCTCCAAGTAATGTATAAGGTAGTTTCAGACAACTTTATCGTATTGAACTTTTGAAAGTTATTTTACTACAGAGAGAAGTAATTTGGTTATTTTATAACTATCTGAAAAGCCAGGTGAGAGTCTATGGCCACTTTAGTGTACCCAAGTAATCTAAAAGGTAGTCTCATACAACTTTTTTGTATTGAATGTTATAAAGTAGTTATTTTACGGACAAGAAGTAAACTATTACAGAGTCAATTGTTCAGTTGCAAAGTGAGATCGATACAGTCACTACGAACTGCCGGTTAAGAAAAGCTTGTGCTGATTTAAGAGCGAATAGTACAAGCAGATAATGCAGTATGCCAAGTGTACATATGGACGTCGTTTTCAATATTACCGTTAAAAATATATTAAACAATTATGCTTTTAAATGTCAAACGTATAAAAATATTTGTTCCCATAAATTTTCATTAAAAATGTAGTTCTTTAAAACAAACACAAACAGAAAATAATTATTAAAATTTTAATCAAATTTTTATAAAATATTAAAAAAGAAATATAAAAGTTAATTTAGGTCAGTGTCAAGATAAAGAAATAAAAAATAATATTACAAAATAAAGACTAGACAAGTGTTAATTTAAAGATTATTTTTAGCACAATATATAAAATTTAAAAAACTGTTAATTATTAAACTTTTAAAGAAATCTGTTTATAATTTTTTCTCCGCGTGTAAATATTATATATTGTTTACTATAGACAAACATCTGGTATGAATTACCTACATTGACAGTTTTGAAAAAAAAAGCGTACGATTTTAATTGTTGTTTTTAATTAAAAATGAAAAATTAAACAAAACAACAATATTATATTGTTTTATAATGTGCGAATTAAATAAAAACAACAACTGGATAACTATGCCATTTAATAATAAATAAAAAAGCGGGAAATTATTGCAACTTGTTTTCAGAACTAAACAAGTAACTATTTTATTGCAATGATAGTGATTTTATTATAAAAAACGATTAATTAAATATCAATGTTTAGACAAATAAAACTTTAAATAATACTATATTTTAAAGAAAATAATAAATTCTTTACATAAAAACCCGGAAATAATTTAAATAAATAATAACATAAATTTACTTTTAAAATTATCAACTTTATAAAGAAATACACCTTCTTATTTCTTCGAGTGTAAATTTCCAAGTAAACAATTTAATTAGCGTGTCAACTTTGTACCTTAAAGTCTGTCTCTTTTGATAATTTTACACCTCTCTCTCTCTCTTGCTCTAACACTTTTTCAATGTTATTAATTAAAACAAAAAACAAGCTGTTTTAAATTAGAATTAAAGAAATGTTAGAAAAAAATCATAGAAAATCAAACAATTTGAAAGTTTAATTAATAACAATTACCCCACACAAGAAAATACAAATAATAATACTTTTTGTATAAAAAAAAAAAAACAAACTAAAACTAACGAGCTAAAAACACACACTCAAGTTGAAAGACCAAACAACTAAACTTAGAAAACTTCACAAGCAGAATACGAAAAAACAAGTAAACTAACATATGATCAGAGTGGTAAAGGTATGAAATACATCAATTTAAAATATAAATTTGAAGAAAGACTATAGACTAGACTATAACCTAGATGTAGACTAACTATAGACTAGACTATAAACTAGACTATAGACTAGACTATAGACTAGACTGTAGACTAGACTATAGACTAGACTATAGACTAGACTGTAGACTAGACTATAGACTATAGACTAGACTGTAGACTAGACTATAAAGCAGGCTATAGGCTAGACTATAGACTAGACATAAACCAAACTATAGGCTAAACTATAGACTACATTATAGGCTAGACTATGAACTATGCTATAGACTAAACTATAGACTAGACTATAGACTAGACTTAGACTAGACTATAGACTAAGACTATAGACTACTAGACTATAGACTAGACTATAGACTAGACTATAGACTAGACTATAGACTAGACTATAGACTAGACTATAGACTAGACTATAGACTAGACTATAGACTAGACTATAGACTAGACTATAGACTAGACTATAGACTAGACTATAGACTAGACTATAGACTAGACTAATAGACTAGACTATAGACTAGACTATAGACTAGACTATAGACTAGACTATAGACTAGACTATAGACTAGACTATAGACTAGACTATAGACTAGACTATAGACTAGACTATAGACTAGACTATAGACTAGACTATAGACTAGACTATAGACTAGACTATAGACTAGACTATAGACTAGACTATAGACTAGACTATAGACTAGACTATAGACTAGACTATAGACTACACTATAGACTATACTGTAGACTAGACTGTAGACTAGACTATAGACTAGACTATAGACTAGACTATAGACTAGACTATAGACTAGACTATAACTAGACTATAGACTAGACTATAGACTACACTATAGACTAGACTATAGACTAGACTATATACTACACTATAGACTAGACTATAAACTAAACTAAGACTAGACTATAGACTAGACTATAGACTAGACTATAGACTAGACTATAGACTAGACTATAGACTAGACTATAGACTAGACTATAGACGAGAATATAGACTAGACTATAGACGAAACTATAGACTAGACTATAGACTAGACTATAGACTAGACTATAGACTAGACTATAGACTAGACTATATACTAGACTATAGACTAGACTATAGACTAGACTATAGACTAGACTATAGACTAGGCTATAGACTAGACTATAGACTAGACTATAGACTAGACTATAGACTAGACTATAGACTAGACTATAGACTAGACTATAGACTAGACTATAGACTAGACTATAGACTAGACTATAGACTAGACTATAGACTAGACTATAGACTAGACTATAGACTAGACTATAGACTAGACTATAGACTAGACTATAGACTAGACTATAGACTAGACTATAGACTAGACTATAGACTAGACTATAGACTAGACTATAGACTAGACTATAGACTAGACTATAGACTAGACTATAGACTAGACTATAGACTAGACTATAGACTAGACTATAGACTAGACTATAGACTAGACTATAGACTAGACTATAGACTAGACTATAGACTAGACTATAGACTAGACTATAGACTAGACTATAGACTAGACTATAGACTAGACTATAGACTAGACTATGGACTAGACTATAGACTAGACTATAGACTAGACTATAGACTAGACTGTAGACTAGACTATAGACTAGACTATAGACTAGACTATAGACTAGACTATAGACTAGACTATAGACTAGACTATAGCCCAGACTATAGACTAGACTATAGACTAGACTATAGACTAGACTATAGACTAGACTATAGCCCAGACTATAGACTAGACTGTAGACTAGACTATAGACTAGACTATAGACTAGACTATAGACTAGACTATAGACTAGACTAATAGACTAGACTATAGACTAGACTAGACTAGACTATAGACTAGACTATAGACTAGACTATAGACTAGACTATAGACTAGACTATAGACTAGACTATAGACTAGACTAGACTAGACTATAGACTAGACTATAGACTAGACTATACTAACTAGACTATAGACTAGACTATAGACTAGACTATGACTAGACTAGACTATACTATAGACTAGACTATACTATAGACTAGACTATACTATAGACTAGACTATACTATAGACTAGACTATAGACTAGACTATAAACTCGAATATAGACTAGACTATAGACTAGACTATAGACTAGACTATAGACTAGACTATAGACCAGACTATAGACTAGGCTAGACTATAGACTCCACTAACAGGGGCTCAAATACAACGATTTCATTCCTTTTAAACTCTGAGTGTCGTAATATTGACAACACTTAATAATGAACGGGCAAAAGAGGCAAAAAATTATTAAATACGGAAGAAGAAAAAAAAAAAATAATAAATACTATACATATGTATGTATATAAGAAAACTAACAACAACAGCAATAATAAGAACTAAAAAACCATTATAATCAAACTGGGTAATATGTGGTGTTGTATATAAAAAAAAAGAAATATTATATAGACAAAAAAATAAATAAACGGAGAAAGACAATTTAAATGAAAAATGAAGGAAAAAAAACACATAAATTAAATATATTAAAGAACACATAGAAGAAGAATAAGAAAAAAGCAAAAAAGCTTTTCGTGTCAAGAACAATATTGCAATATGAAAAAAATACTAATAATAATTCAATAAATATGATCTTTTAAATGATCAAAGTCAATAAATAAAACTTAAGAGAAGAAATTACATTTGTAGATTTAACATAAAAGAGGGAGGTAGATAGTTGGCAAGTAAGTAATGCAAGTCAAGTGGTTTTTTTTATAAACGCACTTAGAGAAAAAAAGCACTCATTTATAAGATTTTGTAATAAATATTTTCAAAAATTGTGTAATTTTGTTTGGTGTGTGTTTTTGGGTGGAAAAGCAAGATTTTTTTGTTTAAATAGAAAATTTAATAAAGTAAAGTACTTAGTTGTTTTTTGTTTAAATAAAATTAATTAATAAAACGTTACATATTAAAATTAGAATGATTGCAGCAACAAATAAATGAAATTTTTGCACACACTTTGACAGCTTTTTAAAATATTTAACACAATATTTTATTTATTTGTTAGAAACACACGCACACACGCGTTATTTAGAGGTTTTATTTCAAATTTATTTTGTGTTTTTTAGATTTTAATTATAATTTTTATATTTGTTTTAAATTATTAAATGATTTAATAAATTTATGTTATTTTATTTATTTAAAATACAGGAAAAACGTTGACATTCTCTTGTTTTTTGACGTTTTTGTTGTTGTTGTTGTAGTTGCTTTATTTGTTTTCTTGTCAAGCAGAGCAGCTCACTTGTATACAAAATTTTGTTATTTATTTTTTTCTATTTCAAATTTTAAAAGTTTCTTTTAGTTTTCAGCGTTTGTTTCTTTATAAATTTTTAAAATTTTTTTTTGTGCTGTCTGTCGTCTCTTGGGTACTTCGCGTGCCGTTCAACTAAAAAATCATATTTATTGTGGCGCATAGAAAGGTTGAGTCAGTCAGAGTCAGTTGTAGGAACAAAAACAGTGTTGTATTATTTCATTTCATTTTATTAGGTAGAATAGAAAAGTGTTAATGGTTGGTGGGTTGTTGGGCTGTCGGGCGGGCTGGGTTTGTCTTTGCCTTTGCCGCTTATATTATGACGATGATGACGACGGCGACGACGATGATGATGATGATTATTATTGTTTCCTCAAGAACTTTTTTGTTTGCTGTCACATTTAGTCAAAAAAGAGCAACACATGTACACATTTAGCTACATTATTATTATTTTATTTATTCTTTTTTTTTCAATATTATTTGTAAATTTATCGTAGTTGTTGACGTCGTGAGTTTGTTTTTTTTTTTCTCTTTTAAACGGTAGCGTTTGTAATACACGGCTGATATTCTGTTTCTTTTTAAACCGACAACTTTCGGTATATTAATTTTGTTTAAAGCAATAATTATTTATTTGTATTTTATATTCTGCTAAAAAAAAGACAAACAATATTGCAACAATAACTAAATGTTTTTGTGAGAATTTTATAATGCATTTAACAAATGACGCGTTTAGTTGTTTAATTAAAGAAATATATAAAAGAGGAAAAAGAATTAAATGTTTTGCAAAACTAACATAGAAATAATTAGTTACAGTTATGGTTAAAATAATCGTAAATTAGCAAAACTAATAAATTTTCTTACACTGACTAAACGTACAGCTTGACAAAAACACACTGAACATACTTTTGTCACATAAATTTGACAGCTGATACAACACTAACAGCTATAAAACTATCAAACTGTAGCAACACTGTCAGCAATGAGAGACACAAAATTTAAAACATTTTGACCCAGATTCCTATAGGTCTAAAAGATTCAAATTAAACTTAACTACGCCTCTCTGGGCTTTGAGTGGGCTGTGGCCCTCTCTGACAACGGATTGGACTAGGACTCGATTAGGTTTCCAACTGGTATGATTACTAGGCACTGTATGATTGCACATATGTCGGAACGTATGGGCTGTTTGGACGAACAGAAAGTGGAATCGGTACAACACCTTCTATGTGACTGTCCAGCCTGGCAAGAGCACAGACTACTCTATCTTGGTAGAGCTCTTTTTCATGATCTGGACTGTATCAGAAATGCGTCACTAGTAAACATGAATCGGTTTTATTAGGAACACCGGCAGACTTTCACGAAGACCGTAAGAACCAAATAGTCAACGAAACTAGGGGGGAAACAACTCTCTTAACACAAGGGAATGAAATGAATCAGCTGACTCTTTCTTGGCGAAGGGAAACTTGTGTAAGTCGTTAGTTTGGACCGTGATTTTGCAACAAATAGATGTACGAAAAGCCGATGAACCTGTATCAGATCCTAATTGGAAATTATGCCCTCATTTTACGGCCATTTATTAATAGCATAAATCAGCTGATTCTTTTTTGGCTAAGGGAAACTTCTGTAAGTCAATAATTCGACCGTGATGTTGCCAGATGTTCGAAAAACCCATGAAATTGTATCAGATCGACCGTGAGTTGCCAGATGTTCGAAAAACCCATGAAATTGTTTCAGATCCTAATTGAAAATCACGCCTTCATCGTTAGTTTGACCGTAAGGTTGCCGTTGGGTTTTTGGCTGAAAATCACGAAACTGCAGATACGTCACTGAACGAAACATTAAAACTAACTGAGCCTTTAGTGCCAAACTTCTATTCGACATAGACCAAAAACTACCAAACTAATTTACATGAAAATTAGCACATCAGTAGGTCTATTCTCGGAAGAAACTAAAGGCTGTATGAGATTTCGATTGTATGCCCAGGCTCTCTTTACGCCCACTTTTTCTAAAAGTTTTGTAATACTGAACAAATATACATCTACATAAAAATTGACAAACCTAAAAAGAAAAAAACCTGAAAAGAATTGGATGTGACGCCCCCAGAAGGAATTGTAGACTATCTTAGAACTTAAATGAATGGCACGCCTCTATTTATGTCCAGTTTTAAGGGTGTAAATAGAAAGCCACAGAAACAAAAACTATTAAACCAATTTATATAAAATTAGGAGAACCATAGATCTGTCTATCCTCAAAAGAAACTATTGGCTATATTTGATCTTGATGGACCCTTGATGACCCTTTTTACGTATAAAAATCACACAAACTGCGGTTTTTAGAAAGCAAATATTGATTATACTTGGACCATTAATAATCCAAAATAAAACATCTCATCTTAGAAATTTTTTTTACATATTCTTTGAAATTTGAAATTTCCTCTATAGTGTAAACAGTTTTCTTAATATCTACTATATCACAATTCGCATTGACGCAATACATTATAAAACAATTGTATCTATGAAAATATCTATGAGTAGGTGCATATTTACGAGTGTATATGTTGGTAAAATGTTTTTCTTAAATACCTTAACAATTTATTAAAAATATATACATTTTTTTTCTTGTTTTACGTTAAATAACTGTCTAAATGCAACAGCTGTTTTTAATCACAAAACGAGAGAAATAAATTTAGATTCTTTTTAAAACATTATTCATCTGCTGTAATTAGGGCAGTTCAGGGTTGATCGAAAAGGGTCCGGCAAATTTTTAAAATGTTTGCATTTTTGTTTTTTAAAATGTGCATGTTAAAGTGTTGCCATATTTTAGTGACTTTTTTTATCAGCTGTTTCAATACGGCGAAAACCATATAATACTAGAGAAAGTGTAAGAAAAGAAGTCAATAAAGAAAGAAAACAATGAATTTTATGATGTCATTGCCATAATTTGTAAAGAATAAAATAACATTTGCAAAATTTTTGCCTTCAGCTACTGAATACCCCTAATATAATTTTTACATTCATTATATGAAGCGACTACTTTAATATTGAACTTTGTTTTATTATATTGTTAATACAATCAAAACCCCAAAAACCAACAATAATTAATAAATTATGAATATTGCAACAACAGCAACAACAACTAAGCAATACTTAATTATAATTGTTGTTTTAATAAATTATGGTTTAAAAATTAATTTCGAATAAACAACAAAACGTCTGACTGATTTTATGCATTAAATTTACGTATATATTTGCAAAATGGCAAGATTTTAATACGTTTTTTTTTTAAATTTTTGTAATAATTTCAAAGTTTTGTGTTTATTTTAATGAAATAAACACAATCTGTGTAAATAATTTATAGAAAAAAAAATTGCCAAGATAAATATTATTTTTTTGAAAAATCATTTAATATTCATGATATCATTAATTTGTGATGATGTTTGAGAATAATTTTTTTTTATTAAATTAATACTATTTATTTAATTTGTGTTTAAATTAAATAATTATTATGGGAAGAGATTTTTTAGAATGTTGTTGTTTTTTGACAAATTACTTTTTTTGAAACAAACTCATTATAGACTTTCATTTAGTGAAATGATAAATTGCAAATAATATTTTTACAAATTTCAATGTTTTTGACAAGAAGGAATCTATTTTCTTTAAAATATGAAATACTCTAATAAAAAATCCTTTTTAAACAAGGTACGAATGTTTTATTATAGATTACTTGACAGAATTCCTCTATAGTCCAAGATATAGACTAATCTATAGTCCAGGATGTGGACTAATCTATAGTCGAGGATATAGACTACTCTATAGTAGAGGCTATAGACTACTCTATAGTCCAGACTATGGACTACTGTATAGTCCAGACTATAGACTACTCTATAATCCAGACTATAGATTACTCTATAGTCCAGGATATAGACTAATCTATAGTCCAGGATATGGACTAATCTATAGTCCAGGATATAGACTACTCTATAATAGAGACTATAGACTACTCTATAGTCCAGACTATGAACAACTCTATAGTCCAGACTATGGACTACTTTATAGTCCAGACTATAGAGTACTCTATAGGTTAGACTATAGACTACTCTATAATCAGACTCCGTAGTCGAGACTATAAACTGCTCTATAGTCCAGACTATGGACTACTCTATAGCCCAGACTATAGTCTACCCTATAGTGAAGACAATAGACTACTCTAGGATCCAGCCTATAGACTACTCTATAGTCTAGACTATAGACTATTCTATAATCAGACTATAGTCTACTCTATAGTCGTGACTATAGACTACTCCATAGTCAGGAATATATACCACTCCAGACTATAGATTATTCCATAGTCTAGACTATAGACTACTCTAAAGTCCAGACTATAGACTACTCTATAGTCCAGACTATAGACTATTGTATAGTCCAGACTATAGAGTAATATATAGTCGAAACTTTAGACTACTCTATAGTCCAGACTATAGACTATTGTATAGTCCAGACTATAGAGTAATATATAGTCGAAACTTTAGACTACTCTATAGTCCAGCCTATAGACTACTCTAAATTCCAGACAGTAGACTACTCTAAAGTCCAGACTATAGACTAATCTAGAGTACTCTTTAGTCGAGACTATAGTCGAGACTTTAGACTACTCTTCAATCCAGACTATAGACTACTCTAGACTATAGATTACTCTATAGTCCAGACTATAGACTACTCTATAGTCGAGACTTTAGACTACTCTATAGTTGGGACTAAAATCTCTATGGTCCTAAACACTATAGTTGAGACTTGTCGATGAGACTATAGTCTCGGCTAGACAATAGTCTGGACTACTATTGTCTAGTCGAGTACTAAAGACTACTCTATATCCTGAAAAATTTTCACGCCTTATAAAATTAGTTTAAATTTTCACCTAATTTTAACTTAATTAATGAAATGAAACTATTGCCAATTAAGGCAAAAAAATTTACCTTAATTGGCAATAGTTTTAAAATGTCTGTTCAACAACATGACTTGGCCAAATTTGTAAAAAAATCTTAGAAAATTATGTAGAATCACAGACTGTTAAATAATTATTAAAAAATTTAACAGGCTCATTATTAAATCATTAGTCTCGGCTCGAAAATTTTCAATTTAGTTTTTTTTTTTGTAAATGCAAAACTTATATAAAGCCATTTATTAAATTTCATTGTTTTCAGTTTTTATTTATAACAACTACTAAATTTAGTTTAAACAAATTTAGTATGATAGTTAAAGTTAGAAGACAAAGTTTCGAAATCTAAAAAAAAAAGTTTTGGAAAAAAATTATGTTTAACACCTTAGAAACTATAACAACATCAAGCAAGTTTAGTTGCAATAAATTACTGTTATTAAGTCTAATAATAAACATTTCACCTTTGAGTCATGAGTTGGAACAGTCAAGTGAAGCTACAACTACAACGTCATCATCATCAGCAACAGCAGATAATCTTATAGTAAAGGTGAAACACTTTGACATACATTTCTCTTCTCT